TTGCAATATTTACCTAGAGCTAACCTTGCAGATAGCATTACTGGGTGATCTGAAAAGTCATAGTCAATCGATCAATAATATAATAATACTTTTAGCAAAAATGTTTTATTTTTAATTCACAATCTGTAGAAGCAATGAGAATAGAAAGGTTCAGAACTTTTGTAAAACATCACAGTACGGTTGAAATATATATGGCAAATAGAAATCCTATATGGATGGTGTTAAGAGATAGATGGGAGGTATTGAATAGAGTTGAAGGATGGGACTAATAACAAATAACAACAAATAATAACAAAGATAGCTAATAATGTAAGCATACTGTGTCCATAATAAGTATATAGGTTGTATGTTGGGAGCTTTTGGGAAAGAGAACAGTTAGAAAGATATGGCATATAGAAGCAAACCGGATGGACATCATGAAAATGATCGGAGAGGTTGAGAGTAGAAGAAGTTCAGGAGCAAAAATAATATATATATATATATATATATATAATAGAATTATTGTAAAATTAACTGTGTCCATAAGGTGTAGATAGTAAGTATAGACCGGAAGTAGAGGCCTGGACATTGTTGTTCACTAATTAACTCCAAGTAGGGAAAGGATGGCGGGGTTGAAAAGTAATAAAGGGGAGTATATATATAAAAAAACATGGGGGATTGGAAGTGATGCAGACAATTACATTGATAGAAGATACAATCTATCTGCAATATTAAGCTGATCCATCAACAAAAAAAAAAAAAAAAAAAAAATCGGCAGTGTATCAAATACTTGTTCTCCCCACTGTATGTTTGTTTACACAAGGAAGATCTTTACTCATGAATATTGAATTTCACCCTCCTAATTAGTAATTACTATACACATGTGTAACATATTAATTAATATTACATGCGAGGAGGATAGTTGCATCAAAAACTCCCTCTCTTCAATCTACCGTTTTTTCTTTACTCAACTACACAACTATTTCTGCACCCTAAGCTGGAAACTGGGACTTGCTTGTACTGAAGAGCCCTATTGATATGGACCAGCTTGAGGTGGATGAGTGGGAGGGAGAGAGGGAGAGTGTGCTGGCGGTGGTAGTTGGAGAGATCTCTGGTGTGTTTATAGGACAGTGTGTCTGCCAGCGAAGTGTTTAGAATATCTCTCTCACTGCCTCGTTTTTACATTTTAGTCATTTAGCAGACGCTCTTATCCAGAGCGACTTACAGTTAGTGAATACATTTTTTTCATTTTTTTCATACTGGTCCCCCGTGGGAATTGAACCCACAACCCTGGCGTTGCAAACGCCATGCTCTATCAACTGAGCTACATCCCTGCTAGCCATTCCCTCCCCTACCCTGGACGACGCTGGGCCAATTGTGCGCCACCCATGAGTCTCCCGGTCGCGGCCGGCTGCGACAGAGCCTGGATTCGAACCAGGATCTCTAGTGGCACAGATAGCACTGCGATGCAGTGCCTTGGAGGTCTGTGTGTATGCTATCATAATGCACAGTAGTAGTTTCTCATGAAGGGGAGGTGAAGGTGGCAGATCTATTTTGGGTAAGGAAAATCCCCAATGTGAAAGTGGGTCTCTACTAGTGGGTAGTTGCATGTTTTTCCCCACGTCCAGAGATTGTCTGATAACAGTAGCCTAGTTTGTCCATGTCTCTTGTTTGGAAGGCATGTAGTCCAGTGTTCTTTTTATAAATTATATTTTATTTAACCATTATTTTAACAGGGAGTCATACTGAGACAAATTGTCTCACAGATGAGCCCTGTATACACATCAATACACATCAATATGCATGTGTTACAAATCAAAATACCTTCAGTGATGTTGTCATGGTGAAGGTTGAGCACAGTGATTAGGCACTGGCAGACATACTGTATCATCCCCCCTCCCACTCAAATACATCAGACTCTCGCTTTAGGTCTACTGAAACAAGAAGCTGTCCCGTTCCCTCTCAGGGTCCCTCTCAGTCACTTCAGGGGTTTGTGTTCCACTTGGCTGCCTGGCAGTGTGGATGAATGGAGGCGGCTGTGGAAGTGTGGTAAAGCGTTTGAGACAGAGGTTAGCCTGCTCTCTGGGACTCAGGGAGCTAGTCTAATCTTTGTGAAATAATCATTGTCTGCTCAAAATAGGTCAGTGCAGTAAAACACCACTGGTCATCAGCTTACAAGAGCCATTTAAATCTTTGTCAGCCATGTTGGATTCTCTGCCTCTTATCCTTGCAGCCATGGTGCATTTTCTTTGTGTTTGTGTGAAAGGCTCCTGTAAGGTGAAACCAATGCCATGTGAATAATGCCGATGTAGTCTTACCTAATCTAACCTTCTCCTCTCTTTCTCTCGCTCTCTCTCTCTCTCAGGCGGGAAGTGATGGCGAGAGCATTGGGAACTGTCCATTCTCCCAGAGACTCTTCATGATCCTGTGGCTGAAGGGAGTGGTCTTCAACGTCACCACAGTGGACCTGAAGAGGTGAGGGAGACACCAGACCACCACGTCACACTAGCTAGCCCACTCCTCCACCACACGTCACACTAGCTAGCCCACTCCTCCACCACACGTCACACTAGCTAGCCCTCTCCTCCACCACACGTCACACTAGCTAGCCCACTCCTCCACCACACGTCACACTAGCTAGCCCACTCCTCCACCACACGTCACACTAGCTAGCCCACTGCTCCACCACACGTCACACTTGCTAGCCCTCTCCTCCACCACACGTCACACTAGCTAGCCCACTCCTCCACCACACGTCACACTAGCTAGCCCACTCCTCCACCACACATCACACTAGCTAGCCCACTCCTCCACCACACGTCACTCTAGCTAGCCCACTCCTCCACCACACGTCACACTACTTAGCCCACTCCTCCACCACGTCACACTAGCTAGCCCACTCCTCCACCACATGTCACACTAGTTAGCTTGCTCACTCCTCCACCACACGTCACACTATCTAGCTAGCTCAGTCCCCCAGAAGGGATCAGCCTGCTACTCTTCCTCAGCTCTCAACTAGCTCCTGGAAAGCCAGGGGAATATTCTCTCTCTCTCTCTGCTCTCCTCTTTCATTGGCTCCCAGAGCTTTTCTGGGCTCTCCACTAAGACCTTAGCAGCCTAGCAGAACACTTTGATCCAGCCACACCTCAAACATCCCCACCGCCCTGACTGCTTATTTGGTTTTCCCATGACCTTTCCAAACCCGAGAAATCTGGAAAATAAACAAGCAACGTTTTGGAGAGGCTAATTGAGGTTGTGCTCACTTCCTCCCTATATGTTATTTTTCTTACTCTAAAATCAAAACAGGATCTAGAAGGATCATCTTCCCCTCCCAAAGTAATTTGAACACTATTTAGCCTCGGCTGTAACTACAGCAAACTTTCTTCCCCATGTTCACTGTAATGTGTAATGCTGCCTGGCAGCTCTTTACCCAGCCATTATGTCCCTCTATGAGTCATCCTGATAGTTTTTCCTCTTCCAAGGCAAGGCTGCTGGGATATGTGTGATTATATGGTCAAATGAACTCTTTATTTCCATGGGCCTTTCATCATTGCTGTTTGACTCAGACAGTACAGTATACAGTAGGCTCTCTGATTAAGTGTTGTAGAGGGGAAAGCTCATCCACGTAGATGCTTTTTCATCGCTAAGCATCTCTTCTCCTGAGAGAGCTCAGAAACACTGCTACCTCTGCCAGGGTCGGTCCTGTCGGCAATCTAGACAAGACAAGACTGAGTAGTACACAGAGCAACCTTCTTTTTTACTTCTGGAGGCACCGGAATGTTGTCTGTGGGTGTCTGTGAATGTTGTCTGTGAATGTTGTCTGTGAATGTTGTCTGTGGGTGTCTGTGAATGTTGTCTGTGGGTGTCTGTGAATGTTGTCTGTGGGTGTCTGTGAATGTTGTCTGTGAATGTTGTCTGTGGGTGTCTGTGAATGTTGTCTGTGGGTGTCTGTGAATGTTGTCTGTGAATGTTGTCTGTGGGTGTCTGTGAATGTTGTCTGTGGGTGTCTGTGAATGTTGTCTGTGGGTGTCTGTGAATGTTGTCTGTGAATGTTGTCTATGGGTGTCTGTGAATGTATTTGCGCATGTACGTCTATGTCTGTGAGGGTGTGTAATGCGAAACGAGCTTCCGGAGGTCTTGTTAAAGGCAGTGGAGGGTGTCCGCCCACTTAACAGTGTCTGTTTCCCCCTCTGTCAAACATGTCTTTGTTCAGCTGTTCTGACCAGGACTGATAAAGGCTTCACTTTTTCCACACAGTATAGTGTGGTCTCCAGTCAAAAGAAAGGCAAAGTATTACACAAGAGTGTGTCCTATTTTATCCCTTTTTATTGCTATATGGAACTCAAAAACAGTACATTTTATTTACTACCATTCTACATTGATGTGATTGTGAGTAGCCCACTTAGTAAGGAAAGATGTAGAATTACGATTTCTAATCTGAAGTTTTGTGACCTTGCTATAGAAAACTATTTTTGGCTCAATTCTATGACTAACATGTCTATGATTAAAGCATTTTTATTTATCTTCTTGAGAGAACGCTTTTACCCCCTCCCCCTTAATGTTGCCATGGGGCGAGTGTGCTTCCTGTGCTCATGCCAAAGGGTTGAGGTCACTTCCTGTTTTGGTGCCCCTGTGACTGGTTGGTCCTATTAGTGTGTTTCACATCTCCCCTTGTAGGGACATCTTAACCACTGTACGTATGCACATCACATTGCATTTTGACATGGCTTGCATGTGAAGCAGTCTCTATGGATAAGTCAGTGGTAGGCTGTTCCCTGCATCAAAGTTAATTTGCTCCTCATTATTTTGACAATTAACTCTACACTGTAAGACCTTTAAAAGGTTTTATTTTGGTTTGTGTGGATCATTATGAAACATGACTCAGGGCTGTTGACAGGTCATTCATCACATACTCATTATGTTGTGTGTGTTCTCATCATATCTCACCTCCCAGACATCTGGAACAAAACAAGCCTGTTCTGAGCACTGCGGACAGAGGAATGCACTTGGCATAAAAACACATGCACGAACACATGTACACAACCCTGTTGAAAAGAAAGTCCAGCCCAGGGTCTGTGTGTGTGAGAGGGAGCGCTAGAGAGGGCAAGACAAGTCTGGAACAGTTGAGCATGGGAACTGGGACAGGGAATTGTGTCCTGTCCGTGGGCCACAGCCACGTCCACCGACCTGAGAAAGCAATAGAACTGAGCCCTGGGAGGACGCAGAATAACACTAATGATTGTTGATGATTGTCAAAGAGTAGTCAAAGACTAGATGGATTATCGGGATATAAAGTGATAGATTAGTGAGTAATCAGTGATGTCTCAGTTGTATAGTAGTAGTATAAAACTTTATCCCCAGAGGGAACTTGTTTTTGCAGCAAAGTCATCCATACAAACAAGACAGACATTTCAACAACATTAAGGACTTAACACAGTATAAGATATGCATTGCATTTGGCTGATATGGGTATTTACCAGTGTGTTGTGACATGAACACTAAATCCCCTGTCTTCTCTGCTTCCCAGGAAGCCTGCAGACCTCCAGAACCTGGCCCCAGGCACACACCCTCCCTTCATCACCTTCAACGGGGAGGTCAAGACAGACGTCAACAAGATAGAGGAGTTCTTGGAGGATGTCCTCAGCCCACCCAAGTGAGTCGTCTGGTCTGGGTTGCAACAGCCCGTCACGTCCACTAGGCACATCACACTGTGTACTGTAACCTAGTTATCTACACTTGGAGGCACTCTGCTTGTGTCAGATCTAACCAGGTGTATCATCTGTTTGTGTGTGTGTAGGTTCACCAAGCTTGGCGCCAGACACCCTGAGTCCAACACTGCTGGGATGGACATCTTTGCCAAGTTCTCAGCCTTCATCAAAAACTCAAAACCCGATGCCAACGAAGGTGAGCTTCCACTCCCTTTAACATAATTATCAAGCGTGTGCTTCACCAGTTCTGTGGTTGCTAGGCGACAGCGGTAGCCTGAGGTGATTGGTGGCTGGGTGAAAGCGGGGAGCCTGACATGGCAACACAGAGCTTTTATTCTCTGGGGTGCCCTCTCTCTGTCCCCAGGACCATTCCTGCCACTGTCCCCCTGTATCCCATGTGACCTTGCTGGGCTCTCTAAAAAACAAAAACAAACGCCTGGTAAAAACAACAGAGCGAGATGGTCTGGAAATGAGCTCAAAGCAACTCTTGTCTCCCCTGGCTTTGGTTTAACAGGCATGCTACAGCTATAAATATATTGCCCACAGACATGTTTTGTGCAAGACAAAAGAGATGACAGTATACTGTAGCTTTGCCTCAGTCATATTGGCTAATGTTTCTCTGTCTGTATGCCATGTTAATCTGGGGTAAGCTGTTTATGACACAGTATCAGTTCATGACCTCTGGTATCTTGTTTGGTTTCTTTCTATTCTCCACCCTGCGGAAATATTGACCTATCGTGACGGTTGGCTTTGAATATCTTCTGGGCTATGTCAACAGCACTTTAATGCTGAAAGTCATATCTGAATGATAAGCATGCCCTATTTATAGGACAGTCATACTGTAAAATTTAAAACACAATATGCCTAGTCACACTCTCCCCAACTGACTTAAATACCCAACATTCCAATAAGTAGAATTTGCTCAGTGAACCACAATTAGTCCAACCCCTGCTATCTATTTTGGCTGTATGGACTACTCCTTATTTGGGGTCTCAAGATAATGCCAAAAACTGGGATCAAGGAATGTACTCTGTCAAAGTACTTCAGCAAGGCAGCTTAAGTTCTGCCATCTTGCTATGAAATGCTGTCCTCGTGTGGCAGACTACAGAACTGCTGTGTGTATCATGTAGTGTCAGTTTGAAAAGTGGTCCAGAATACTCAACACAATGCAGGCAGGCTGCTGTTGTTGTGCTAGTTAGAGATGATAAATGTTCCTTTTTTTGCTGTAGGTCTGGAGCGGGGGCTGTTGAAGACCCTGCAGAAGCTGAATGAGTACCTGCGCTCCCCACTGCCTGACGAGATCGACCACAACAGCATTGAGGACGTCAAGATCTCCACTCGCAAGTTCCTGGACGGTGACGAGATGACACTGGCTGACTGCAACCTCCTGCCCAAGCTGCACATCGTCAAGGTAAGAGCAGAACCCAATAAACAGGACCTTATACACCGAGTGTACACAACATTGTATACTCACTGCTCTTTCCATGAGATAGACTGACTAGGTGAATCCAGGTGAAAGCTATGATCCCTTATTAAATCCAATTCAATCAATGTAGATGAAGGGGAGGAGACAGGTTAAAGAAGGATTTTTAAGCCTTGATACAATTGAGACATGGATTGTGCATGTGTGCCATTCAGAGGGTAAATGGGCAAGACAAAAGATTTAAGTGCCTTTGAACGGAGTATGGTGGTAGGTGCCAGTGCTCCGGTTTGTGTCAAGAACTGCAACACTGCTGAGTTTCACGTTCAACAGTTTCCCGTGTGTATCAAGAATGGTCCACCAACCAAAGGACATCCAGCCAACTTGACACAACTGTGGGAAGCATTGGCGTCAACATGGGCCAGCATCCCTGTGGAATGCTTTCGATACCTTGTAGAGTCCACGCCCAGACGAATGCGCCATCCATGCGCAACTCAATATTTTGAAGGTGTTCCTGTTTGGTATACTCAGTGTACACACGTTACAGTTGAGTTAGCGAAGTCCCTATAGTAATCCCTCAGCAAAGCTACCTGTGCTATTCTTATGGTAAAATGGAATGCTTATGTTAGACAAATAGAGTACATCTTTACACAGCAAAGCCCAGAGCGCTTAGTGATTTATGCATTCTGCTACCCAAATCATTTTGTACCACCCTTAGCCTACAGAGGGACCGCTTCTCTAGAAGTTTATCTAAGACTAACTTAATTCATCAATGTCCCCCTCCATCCACAGGTGGTGACCAAGAAGTACAGAGGCTTTGACATCCCCAAGGACATGACGGGCATCTGGCAATACTTGCAGAACGCCTACACGCACGAGGAGTTCACCAACACCTGCCCCAGCGACAAAGAGATCGAGATCGCCTACCAAGATGTGGCCAAGAGGCTGGTCAAATAGGCCCGTCCCACCTCCACACCCTCCTCCCCCACGCCACCTCTATCCTCCAGCACTGGGACTGGTCTGTTCAGACACGAGAAAGAAAACTATGGACTACCTTTCCTTCTCTCCTCAATTAGAGCAAACCCAATGCATGAGCTCCTTTGTTCCTACTTTTCCCTTTTATTTTTGGAAGATCTCTTGAGTACATGAAGCAGCTCAGAAAGGTCACTGACGGTCCATTGTTTATTGCATTTTTTGTTTTCTCTTTGTTATGATGATTTGACTGGCGAGGTGGTCGAGGAGCTTGTCAGTGTTGGAGGGCAATCTATACACACTCCTTATAAAGTGGCCTTCCGGCTGACCCTCTGTCTCCACACGGGAATATGGTCACAAGCTGTTTTTTTCTATTGTCCGTTCAACTGTTCAATATTGATTTGCTTTTTAGGCTTGCTATGAAAGTGAATATTACAAGGCTGATATTGTGTTTTGGCTACGGAGTTGATTTATACAGTGTTGAAAGCTTCAGTGTTTTTGGCTCTAGAGGATAAATGAGGGCAGGTTTCACTGCATGTAGACAGACGCTAGGCCAAACCACCGAGTTTGACATATTGGTGCGATATGCTTCATTTTACTGTTGCGTTCCTTAAGTCAATTGCAATAACTATTATACAGGTAAAGCTACCTGTTATCCATGCTCTGATACAATTTCCTCCATGACCTTATGCTGAGCTCAGTCAGGGCTTTCCGAGATGTACCTGCACCAGGTGCTTGGATGAGATGTTTTCAGCTCAGGACAATGGAACCTGAGATTAATGAAATATATTAGATCATATGTAGCAATTAAATATTAGATAATATTTAACAAACAAAACATTTAGACTTGTATGGGAATACAAACTCTCCTTCATCACTGCGTTGCCTCACATCACTGCTCCATATAGACACTGACATTCTTGGCAGTAAAGCTCAATTTTACCAGAAATAAAATGTGTTTTTTATTCTCTCCTGCAAAGCATGAAGGGAAGTATTTAGCTTGTGTTGTGCTGGCAGCAGTGGTAGCTTATATTACACTTCACCAAAAAGGGCACATTTATTCTGGTCTCACTGTGGATTGAATGACTATCTAAACTAGTGAAGTACAAAAACCTCTCCCGGTCTCTCTTTCTCCCATAGAATACGGAAGAACACTAATGTGCGGTCAGGCAACAGGAAAGGTGACACTAAAGATATTTATGAGAAAAGGCATCAGGGAGAGGAGAATGGTAATGTAATGAATATCATGTAGGATTTCATTTTCTCATTATTTAGAATGCTCGCAAAGGTAGTGAATGTATTATGTCGTAGTTCCAAAATGCTTTAGTGTGGATAAAGCAAAAATATATAATTTTTGTTTTTTATCTCCCTATGTTTTGCTGCCATCTTTTCAGACATTTGTTGTAATACGCATTTCATAAAAGGAATTGTAAATATTTGTTTTGATTATTCAGAGTTCAATGTGTACATTTTGAACACTTATTGGTTTGAATTTGGGGGAAATAGGCCTTTTTTACCTGCTTGGGTTTTAATACTAGAAGACATCTCCTCTGGCCTTATTTGTTGCGCAGGTTTTCAAAGATCACTGCAATGACGACATGTGTATGTCAATGTCAGAAGAAAAGATCCAGGCTATGTCATGGCTTTTTTAACAATATTGACGTTATTGAAATAAACCTCTTATTGGCACTCTGGTTTGTAGGTGTGATTGCTAGGGGCTGTTCCAGATTGCAGGATCAATTCTAAAATCACTTCATATTTTCGAGGAATATAGACTTTAAATTGGCATGCTATAATTGACTCGACAACCAACAACCATATTCAAGACAAGTTTAGCTTCCTAAATTAATCAGAAAATCAAGAGATATATTTTCCTGCTTATCAAAGGTAGCTGGCTAACTTTGCTTTCTGGAACACCCCATTTGACTAATGACCTAGCAGGCCTACAGTTACTGTGCATGTCATTATGTTATGTGTGATTGATGGGAGACAGCAGAGGGGGGAATACTACAAAGCAAGATCAATGCATTAGCCAGCTAACTTGCCTTAATATTCTGAAATAACTTCATATTTTTCAGAAAGATTGACCATGCCAATTTCAAGGTTAACTGTCTCAACAACCAAAAATACATATCTAAGTTTAGCTTTCTTAATGAAATCATAAAATCAATAGTTATTTCTGGTTGTTTATCAAAATAAGCCTGCTAACTCATTGTTCCTATTTTGTAGTATACCCCTTTAGCTATACTAAGACCAGAGGGGTATCCTATGAAGCAGATTTGAGGAGTTAGCGAGGTAACTTTGGTCAACTCTGATGGGGATAACCGGGTCATATGAAAGTGGCTCACCTTTTAGCCAGGTAAGTTTCTATGGCAATGAATCCTTCAGAACTAAGTGTCTGGGCCTCCTCTGTAGCTCAGTTGGTAGAGCATGGCGCTTGCAACGCCAGGGTTGTGTGTTTGATTCCCACGGGGGGCCAGTATGACAAAATGTATGCAATAACTGTAAGTAGCTCAAGAGCGTCTGCTAAAATCTAAAACGTAAACTAAACTGCTTCGAGTCAGGCTAACTCCACTTACCCTTGAATGAAATGACTGAGCCACGAGTTGAGGGAATGGGGGATACCTAGTCAGACGTATAATGAATGCATTCAACTGAAATGTGTCTTCGGCATTTAACCCAGGCCTTCTGAATCTGCGGTGTGCTGCCTTAATCGTAATCGGGGAACAGTGGGTTAACTGCCTTGCTCAGGGGCAGAACAACCAAATTTTACTTACTGGCCCAACGCTCCTACCCGCCAGGCTACCTGCCGCCCCCGGGACCAATTAAATCAGATTCCTTCCCTCTTGCAAAGATTGCATCATCATCCCCGTAATTTGAGGAAAACTACTGATTAAATATTGAATTAATCAATTGTTTTTGTGTTATCAATTGTTTTTGTGTTAAAAAATAGTCATGTTTAAATATCACATTATACATTTAGTAATAACAGAATGCATTTTAAACTTCACGCACGGTATAAACACTTTTGTATTGTAATGACCCAGCTGGGTCATAAAGTAAAAGAGAGACGGGCACCAGGTGTACAGGCAGAACACAGGTTTATTCCTGAATGGGCTATTGTTCAGGCCACAGCCCACGCCGCTAAACCTCGAACATACACAAATATAACATGTCAAGTCAAGGGTCCCAAAACAGAAGAGAGAGAGATGAGACCGTAACCCCTATTTAAGCATTCCAAAAACCCGCGGGATTACCCATCATACCCCCCCAACCTTTCCATCTGTCCTGGCATATTTAACCCCTGCTAACACCCATGAGAACGATAACACACCCACGAACACAGAACACAATACCGGGTCGTTACAGTATGATGACATTATTTTTTATGATAGGAGTGGGAAAAGGTGCATCGATAAGCACGTCAAAGTCGGTATTAACGATAAGTAATAAAAGCCTATTTCAAACCATATCCTGCTGAATTTGCACGATAACTTTTCTTTCTTTTTGATTTCGCCACAAATTAAAATGTGGCATGGAATGATGTTTCAGCATTGTCTCAAAGAAGGGTTTGGCGTTCGACTAGCCATGTGCCACATGCATGCGCAGTTAAAAGCCTGCTAGTTAGCAGCAGGTTGACGAGCGATATCCACCGTCATAGTACAGATGAAGCCTGAGCTGGAATGTGAAACCCTTTGTAGATCTAGCTTGCTTCATAGGATACCCCTCTGTTTGTTAATTAACTGACAACCTCATAGTTTTCACAAGAGTGGAATGAATGTCCCCCCTCCCCCCCGTTTTGGAGCCTGTCTGCTCCTAATTCTCCACTGTTTCACTGCACAAACAAGTCAATTCTACTGGCAGATGATTCCCAAAATTGTGCAAGCAGGAAGAGGTGTAGGGGTGTACAGTTGGGTGCCCTCCAGATCATTAAAGTGTCATGATTCACTCCCAGGCATTCTCTTTTCTGGCTGAATAACATTGCCACACAGTCTCTCTCTTTCCTCATAACACACATAGAGGAAATCCACCAAGACATAAACAGATGGACTGGAGCTGTGTGTAACCAAAACAAGGCTGGCAATCATTCAGTCAGACCACACAGTCATTAGGGGCGAAGTATATTATGGTAATTATGTAATGAGGGAGAAACCAGGAGGGGTTGTTGTGCGTCTGATATCTTAAGCCTGCGCTTTTTTTATTTAACCAGGCAAGTCAGTTAAGAACAAATTCTTTTTTACGATGCCTACACCGGCCGGGCCAATTGTGCGCTGCCCTATGGGACTCCCCACGGCCGGTTGTGATACAGCCTGGAATCGAACCAGGGGGTCTGTAGTGACGCCTCAAGCACTGAGATGCAGTGCCTTAGACCGCTGCGCCACTCGGGAGCCCATATAAGGACTTTCCTGAACTGTAAAACGACTAACCAAAATCTAAAACTGACCCTTACCTTAACCATAACCTAACCCTAACCTAATTTTAACCAATTCTGAAATTAAATATCACTTTGCAGGTCAGGAGTGTCCATAATGCCTTTTCTGTGTTCCAGTCTCTGGTCTGCTCTGGGCGTGAACAGGAAGGCAGGAGCCAGATGACCAACAGGGTATGCTAGTCACCATAATCTGCATTGGCCTTATCTCCCGAGAGAGACAATGACATGTTATGAGTGTATCTGTGGTTACTATATGGTCATATGAATGGTGTTAAAATACGTTTTTGAGCAAGTGGTTGGAAGGATTTTTTAACCAAACAATATTAAATGCACTAATATGACAATTGTTCAGCCAATACCCTTGTTCTTTTGAACTGAATATGTATTTAGTTTATTTGTTGATATCTATTGTCACATAATAATCCAATAGAGACAATGTATTTTGCCATATTTCACAATTCATGTCTGTTAGCATAGTGACTGACTGGTATCCTATGGCGTGTATTCATGGATGCCAAGGGAAGCCAGGCTTCCCCAAAAAAATGACCAAGAAAAAAAGAAAAATACATACTTTTTCTTTCTTCTCTCTGTGTATCATAATTTTCCTTCAATTCGCAAGAGGCTAAATGTATCTCACCGGAGAAATAATCAAAGCGAATGAAACAACGCCCCTCTGTCTCTGTATTAGAGGCTGTTGCTGCCTATTGAAATCACTGGCCACTTTAATAATGTTTACAGTCACTTTAATAATGTTTACATATCTTGCACTACTCATCTCATATGTATATACTGCATTCCAGTGGCGGCTCCTGAAAAAATTCTCAGGGGGGGCAATTTTTCTGATGATTTAGGTGACCTACACACATTTAAAAAAAGATATGTCCAGCAACAACATGAAGACAGGGGCAGCATATAAGTCAATACTGATATACACATTACTTGCTTCAAAAAGGCCTCATGGTTGAATTGGAAATATGTGCACCTGAGCATAATTCACAACAAGCAAGCAGGAGCTTTTGATAGAGGCTACTGAAAACATTGATGCAAGTTATTGGTAATAAGACATTTTTATAGACTTCCATATTCTTCCCTCTTGTATAGATTTGTGAAAATGAACAGTGATAGACATTTTGCCTGAAAACAGAATTTGAAAATAATTTATAGAAAAGGTAAACACAGCTATCTGTATGGCTTTGTAAAAATGAACAACCATATTCTGGCCAATTGTATAGATTTGTAAATATGATGATGTCTCCTTTCATGCATACATTTTCAAATAAAGCTCTGCTTTGAGAAAGATCGAATGATATTGTTTAATCTTACCTTATGGCCTGCACACTCCTTGTGAAGCTGTCGAGGGCACGTTTGATGAAGACAGCATCGATGTCCTTCTTCTGTAGCTTCTGGTACAGAATGTCGACGTGGGGCATGATTTTGTGAAAAAGCCCCAGGAAAAAAATAAAATCTTCTTGCTATCTATGTACCTCAGCACAAGCACCAGCTGTGTCTGTGTAGAAACGTCCGTGGTCTCGTCAGCTTGGATAGCTACGAAGTTCGCCGACTTCACCTTCTCCACAATATGTTCCCTCATGACCGCTAGCATACACTCCAGTAGCTCGTTTTGAATGGTCTTTGATGTGCCCTTGAAAACTTTAGCATTTTTAAGATGGTCATCAAACACCTCATCTAATTGTGCCACAAAGTTGACAAGTCCAAGAAAAATACCAGGGTTGGTGGAGCCCTCCGTTTCATCTTTGCCTCGCAAAGCTAACTCAAACACTCCGCAAAACTTCACACACTGGATTAGCCGGCTGAGGATGTGGCGGTTCTTGCTAACCTCATCGTTGTGGCGGCGGACAGCTAGCCTGTATCCCTCATCCAGTTGAGTGGCAATGTTCACTCTCCCCAAAGCAGACAATCTCAAACAGCTATCCATGTGGGTCTTTGACAGCCCAATTTTTGGAAAATTGTTGAATTATTAAATTTGGTCTGGGAGGTCCTAATTGTTTCGTTGCCAATTTATCTTGATTTGTTCGCCGACAAAAAGGAACTTCTTTCAAAGAGACAATCGAGTTGCACTGAACGCTAGCCATCTTGATTGACGCTGCTACCCGCTCTTTTCTTAGTTATGTTACGTATGACGAAAGCGCGTAAGTGCAAGCCCTCCCGGAACCCATAGAGATTGTATTGAAAGCTCTGATATTTGAAAAAAAAAAGATTTTACATGAGAGGCTATGAGACACTTCTGGGCGATTTT